TGAGATTTAGACTTAGATAATTCTCGCAACGGAAGTTGGTTAATTATAATTTCGTGATTTGAGTTCAAGAACCGTGCTTAATCCTGAACCCTGATTTATCGATTTATCTGCATTATCTGATTTCCTGAGAAAGACCTTGAGCCTATCTCTTTCTCATTGATTTTACAACCGTTTGATGTTATAGCTGCTGTTATTTTCATCGTTTTCACTTAGCGTAATTCAAGCCTAGATAGTTTATTGTGCGAATCTCTCGTCTATGTGGTTCGACCCCTATTGTACTACAATTGCATATCTGTGCTTTTGCAAAGTAGGTCTAGGGAATAAACTTTGAGCAGACCACCTACAAGATTGGTACTTAATGCTTACACGTGTTAAGTGATAATGATCACTCGCGAAAGGCAGAGAAAAGCTGAGGCTCTGCAAAAGCCGTACTGCGTCTGGATCGCCGAACTCAACTCGTATGCTGAGGATGAAAGGATGCGCCAAAGAACGGTCTCATGCAGACAGAAGACGCCAAAAAAAGTTGGTGAGGCCGTCAGAAGTGTTACGCAAGCAGCAAGATTCGGATCTAATCAAGCTGGATCCCAGACCAACCCACAAAACCAACAATCCAAGATCCGATCGGGTATACTAATCCGGGTTAGGAAAAACTCTATAAATACTAAACCCTTTCTAAGATGAAAGGGATTCAATCTTTTTGCTACTTTTAAGTTTATGCTACCTGACAATGCTTAGCACTCTCATTTCCAATCATCATTCAGACCACTTTCTCACTTCCACTCCATGGCAGTTCCTAAATCGTGAAGCACTTTCATCAACACTCTTATACTTCTTATCTTTTTCATCTCAAAAAGCCTATTAAACTCAGGTCCAAATAGACTCATCCTTTCTTAATAACTCTCGGCCCACTTTCTTTTTCTGTTTTCTAATCTCTTTCCATCTTTCCGATTTGCCACTTTATGATCTTTTTCTAAACTGTTTTCTGACTTGAACGTCAGAGAACCAGTCGGAAAGCTAGTCAAAGAGCCATCGAAAAACATTTTTTTATCGTATTTTTTAGATCTTCATGTTTTTCTTTGTTTTGTATAAAACTTGCCTTAAAAAGGACCAAAATTCCTCTAAACAAGCATAAAAAGATAATTTAAAAAGAAAAACACTAAAGTTGTCCGAAATAAAGTTATCCAAAATGTATTTTCTTCACGTTTCAAGATATTCATTAAAACTAATTAGTTACTTTTTATAATAATAATGTTGTCCGAAACCGAATCCAAACCTGAACCAAATCAAACCATATTACTGACTAAAAAACAAACCAATCCAAACCGATATAAAACTCCAAATTGAATCTATGCTGTGATTTCGAACACCGAACCGATTATGAATTATCGGATGGCCACCCCAATAAAATGTTAGTATGGCCTCAATTATCCTCCTTTGACTGCCTCTTCGTCTCACTCAGATGTCTCTTCGTTTCTCTCAAATGTCTTTAATGTTCTTCTTGTATTTCTATGTTCTTTGACTTGTCTCTTTGGTTTCCGATATGATGTAACTATAAATATCATTCTCCATCATAATAAGAACTCAACAATTCACAATCTCTATATGGTATCAGAGCACTTCTGATCCAATTTCTCCTTTTTTTTTTCCTTTCTCTTCCTTTTGTTCATGGCTAACGACTCTGTTTCGTCCTCTTCAACTGAGCCTGCTCCAGTTTTCAATGTCTCCGATCCTAGGAGTACATTAATTTCCTTAAACATGTCCAACATAACAAAACTTACAGCAACAAATTTTCTTACCTGGCGTATCCAAGTTCGTGCCCTTCTTGAAGCACATGAACTCGATTGCTTTATCGCTGACGACGATCAAACACCATCTGCAACAACAACGACCGACGCTGGAACGTCCCAACCGAATCCCAACTTTGCTGCTTGGAAACGACAAGACAAGATGCTTTTTAGCTCGTTGATTGGCTCTCTCTCTCCTTATCAATACAACCGGTCGTTGCCAGAGCCACCACCTCTCGTGAGCTTTGGCAAATTCTCACTCGCACCTATGGGAATCCTTCCAGAGGACACATGAATCAACTCAAACAACAACTCAGGCGCAGTCACAAAGGCAACAAATCTGTCAATGAATACATGCGTGGAATCATTGACAAATCTGATCAATTAGCTCTTCTTGGATCTCCACTCGATCACGAAGATCTCTTGGATTATATACTCGGTGGTCTCAATGATGATTATCGCGCTATCATCGAGATGGTTCATGGTCGTGATACTCCAATTACCATTGATGAGCTACACGAAAAATTAATTGTCCGAGAAAACGTCCTTAATGCCACAGCTGAAACTGGTGACTCCTCTATACCTGTTACAGCAAATGCAACACAATTCCGACAACAACCGCAACGGTCAAACTCTGTCTCTCGTGGTGGTTTCTCTACTTCTCGTGGCAATAACTCTACTGGGCGTGGTGGATTTCGTTCTCCAAGACCATATCTGGGTAAATGTCAAATCTGTGGAGTGCAAGGACATAGTGCTCGTCGTTGTCCTCAATTTCACCTTCTTTCTGCTCCAAATCAGTTCACTCAGCCACCAACAACTCAGCTTCGTGGTCCACCACCAGGATTTGCTCCGCTTCCACCATCTCATTGGCAACATCAAGCTCATCACACCACTGGAAACTCTCCTGATATTTCTCCATGGCTTCTTGACAGTGGTGCTTCTCATCACATTGCTAGTGATCTCAGCAATTTGTCTCTTCACTCACCATATCAGGGTAATGACAATGTTATGATCGGCAACGGAACGGGTCTCCAAATCATCCACACCGGTTCTACCTCATTACCCTTACACTCTCGTAATCTTTATCTTCGAGATGTTTTATGTGTTCCAACCATGAAAAAGAATCTCATCTCGGTAAACAAACTCTGCAAAACTAATAATGTCATGGTTCAACTTTGTCCATCCACATTTCAGGTGAAGGATCTCAAAACGGGGACAACACTTCTCAACGGCAAGGCCAATGAAGGAGTGTACGAGTGGCCGTCTTCCTTCTCACCATCTTCAAACACCATCTCTGCTTTTCCATGTTTTAAAACCTCATTTTATGGATGGCACTCCAGATTAGGTCATCCAAACATTCAAACTCTTCGTCATATGATTTCTCAGTTTTCTTTACCTTTGTCTTCCCCATTGTCTTCTTCTTTAATTTGCAATTCTTGTTCGTGCAATAAAAGTCATAGACTTCCTTTTTTCACCTCGTCTCTTACTTCTACTGGTCCACTTGATGTCATTTTCTCTGATGTTTGGACATCTCCCGTTTTATCTATTGATGGCTATAAATATTATGTTATCTTTGTTGATCACTTCACAAGATACATATGGTTTTATCCTCTAAAGCGAAAATCTCAAGTTGCTCAAATTTTTTCTCTTTTCAAAGCTCTTGTGGAAAACCGATTCAAAACAAAAATCACTACTCTTTACTCCGACAATGGTGGAGAGTTCATTGCTCTCAAAGAATTTCTCTCTGTCAATGGCATCTCACACTTGACAACACCACCACATACGCCTGAACACAATGGTATGGCAGAACGACGGCATCGTCACATTGTTGAAACAGGGCTTGCCCTTCTCACTCAAGCTGGAATTCCCAACACGTATTGGACGTATTCCTTTGCTGCTGCTGTTTATCTAATCAACCGTCTCACCACTCCAAATTTGGCGAACTCAAGTCCCTTCCATTTATTATTCAGAACGGTGCCTAATTACTTCAAGCTCCGCACCTTTGGTTGTCTTTGCTACCCATGGATTCAACCGTATGGCACCAACAAGTTCAGCCCTAAGTCCAAACCTTGTGTGTTCTTGGGGTACTCACTCACTCAAAGTGCATACCTTTGTCTTGATGTTGCTTCCTCTCAGATCTACGTCTCACGCCATGTGGAGTTTTATGAATCGGTTTTCCCTTTTTCCTTACTTATCCGTTCTTCTTTCTCTTCTCCTTTAAGCTTTCAACCCTCTGATTCTTCTTCTGCTTCCATAGCTCCTATTTTTCGACGGCCACTCAACTCAACTTCCACCCCGTGTACTGATCCTTCACCTGCTAGCTTACCAGTTGATGTGGATACGGTTCACCCTGCTGACGCTATACCTGAGGAGATAGCTGTCTCATCACCTGTTGAGTCCTCTCTGCCTATTCCTGCTACAACAAACACTCACCCAATGGTGACTCGGGCCAAAAATAAAATCCGAAAACCAAATCCTAAATATGGACTTTCTGTTATTCTTCAGGAGATTGAGCCGTTGACTCATATTCAGGCTCTCAAAGATGAAAAATGGCGTCGTGCCATTAATTCCGAATTTGATGCCATAGTTCGCAATGATACGTTTGATCTTGTTGATCGATCGTTAGCAACTAACATTGTTGGCTCTAAATGGATTTTTCGGATTAAACGTTTGCCTGATGGTTCTGTTGATAGGTACAAAGTACGTCTTGTGGCTAAAGGTTTTCATCAACGGCCTGGAGTAGATTTTCATGACACATTCAGCCCTGTCATTAAACATGCTACAATTCGTCTTGTCCTTTGGCAAGCTGTTGCGTGTGACTGGCCCTTGAAACAGTTTGATGTGAATAATGCTTTTCTTCAGGGTCCTCTCTCTCTATATAAAATGTTCAGATGTTTTGGGTAGACTTTATTCTTCTTCCGGACCACACCTTATATCTACCAAACTAATGGAACTGGAATTATAAGCCAAATGGTTTCACAAATACCGAGTCAATTTTCTAACTTTTTATTATAATTATAAGTTGAGTGAGACAAAAATTAAACATGGTAAAAGATACCAAACTAACATTTGAAGATTCTCTTAGTTTGCCGCCCTTAATTCTTAAAATATTGATTCTAAGACAGTGACATACTGACATCTAAACAGAAGAAAACTCCTATAAAAATATTGATTCTTAGCCTTAATTATGTGAAGGAGAAACACAAAGTCAAGGATATGGCCATGATCAACAAGATCCTTAACATCGTTCTTCCTATTGTCACGGTTTCGTTTCTTGTAGTGTTCATGCCATTTTCAATATTCTTCAAACTCCTCGGCTTTATAAGAAGATGCAAAGAGACTGAGAAAGTCGCCGGAAAAGTAGTCGTCATCACCGGATCTTCGTCAGGAATCGGTGAGGTTAGTGAGTTCTTCCTCATAAAACCAAAGTTACATATCCGTGTAACCGAAGCAAAAGCTTTATTTCTCTATTTGGTTAATTTTTGAAACACTGATTGAGTTTGAGTTGGAAACTTCAAATATGTATATTAATTATCATTAAAAAAAATGGTGTTAAATCTTTTAATATTATGTATTGGTGAAGCACCTCGCATATGAGTACGCACGTCGAGGAGCATACTTAACATTGGTAGCTCGGAGAGAAGATCGTCTCCAAGTGGTGGCTGACCGGTGCCGGAAGCTTGGATCACCAGACGTTGCTGTGGTACGCGGTGATGTCACAGTCATTGAAGATTGTAAACGTTTTGTTCAAGAAACCATCTCTCGTTTTGGAAGACGTAAGTTAATTCGCCATTTACTATTGCTTCTTTTTTTAAGAACATAAAAATCTAACAAAAAATTCCTATCAACTTTGGTGCTAGTGGATCATCTGGTGAACAATGCAGGAATTGCAGAGGCCAAAATTTTCGAAGACTACTCGCAAATTTCGGATGTTCTTCCCATAATGGTATACAGTTCTGAGAACTATTGAACCAAGTAATATAATTTTTTTTATAATTATTTATATATGTTAAAGCATTTTTACATGTATTAACTGTTTCAGAATACTAACTTTTGGGGACCGGTCTACGCAACGCATTTCGCTATACCGCATCTGAAAAAAACCAAAGGGAAGATAGTAGCGGTGGCATCGCCTGCTGGATGGGCTGGAGTGCCAAGGATGAGCATTTATGCTGTAAATGCTTCTTCCTCTTTTCATTTTTTGTTTGTTTCGTTACATTGTACCATTTTTCTCTATGTTAGATTAACTATGACAGATTGTAACATTTGATGATCCAGGCAAGCAAAGCAGCTATGATAAACTTCTATGAGACTCTTAGGATCGAGCTCCGTCCAGAAATCGGCGTGACAATCGTGTTTCCGGGTCTAATCGAAAATGGAAATACCGATCCAGATCTTTTGGCTGAGGTATAGTGGACTATCAGTCTATCATCAGATTTCATTTGTGTTTGTCCGATTTTTATGACTTGGTCTCTTTGCAGAAACAAGAGTGGTCGCAAGTTGTGGCCATCGAGTCAGCAACAGAGTGCGCCAAGGCGGTTGTTTACGGAATCTGTAGGGGGAAAACCTTTGTGGCAGAGCCGTCATGGGTCCGGGTTCTCTTCTGGCTTAGCACTCTCTGCCCTGAACTTCTAATCTCTAAGCCTAATAAGAACTGACCAGTTGTATAATACAACAATTGCAAAATAATGAAATATTGATCTCAAAACACAATTTAAAATATAGGAGTTTAGCAACTTAGCCAGCCATTCACCAAAGCTGTGTGGTCAATTGTAGCATCCAGTTTAGTTATTTTATTTAAAAAGATGTGTAACTTTTGAAAGAAAAAAAATGCGTACAACCAATATTTTTATAGCAGAATTTTTTCTGTTAAAATTATATGACTTTATAACGGATAATTTGATTTGTTCACAAAAATTCACGACAAACGAACGTTTCTACTATGCTATAAAATTTCTATAATTTGCTTCTATTAATGAACCAGGGTAACCAAATCGGAACGTGGCTTAGCTTCAAAACAAAATTTAGTTCAGTTTGTGCTTATACGACTATGCAAAATAAAATGTCAGTAAAATTTTTGTTGCTTTGGTTCGATTCTATTCGATTTTTGTGCATGATTGGTATTACACGGTTTACTTATTCTTATAAGACACAACCTAACAGTAACATACTACTTATGTACATTGAGAAAAGTCCCATCCACAAACACAAGCCTCTAAGTGACATAACATCATATTCTTATTGCACAAGATACATTGGATCTTTTTATCATTCATCGACCTCACTCTACTCCGACTTGATTTCCGGCGTTCTGATAGAATCAGGGTACAGAGCACTGCGTACACCAGGAATGTCTAGAAGCTTCTTGTTGAGTGCACTTTCCTCGGGCATACCACGTCCGGCCATGAACAGTAATCGGCAACCTCGCTCAATCAATTCCGGACAAAACACTTTCCAAAGGTAGGTCACCTTGACCCACGATGGTTCGGTCACATATCTCTGTTTTCGGCACACACCATTCACTATCCCCTTGGCACATCCTGATGCTGATGCTACTGGAACTGGTCCTATTTGAGCCTATTTTTGCAAACGAACATTCAGCAGCAAATACAAACCCATTCTTACTCATCAATGAGCTCAGACTACTGTTTTAAGAGTTAGATTTAACTTACGTCTCTCATGTCTTGGTTGAATACTAACTCGCCTTCACCGGAGTAGTACTTGCCTTGTGTGAGCTCGGATTCGACAAAACCAGGTGTGACGATTGTAATGTGTACATCGCCGCCAAGCTCAATTCTCATTGTCTCAAAGAAGCTCAACACAGCTGCTTTGCTTGCCTGATCAACATATTATGCATACTTTTTAGTCACAACGTCCGTCCTAAGAGGCTACTTTTCTAAGGGAAAGTGGTTGTTGACTTACATTGTAAATACTCATCCTTGGGGCGGTTAGCCATGCCGCAGAGGAGGACATAGCCACGATCTTACCGTTACTTTGCCGGAGGTATGGAAGCGCAGCACGAGTTGTATAAACTGATCCCCAGAAGTTTGTATCCTAATAAAACAACAAGATTTAACTAAAAAGATGGGTCTCTCTGATTAAAGCGGTAGTTAAATCACCAAATATTATAATTAACATTACCATAACAGATTTTGTCCTGGTTATATCTTCAACGTCCTCGAACATCGAAATCTGTGTTATCCCAGCAATATTTACAAGATGATCCACTGCAAGACAAAAAAGAAAAGAAAATAACGTATTCATTAATTTTGGAATGGCAAAAACAGAGGAAACAAAACAGATTTGTATGATAACCATGGTATTTTAGGGAAAATAATAATAATACGGATTAAGGGTTATGGAAGTGGAGAGTTGGTTTATTTTAAAAATTAATGTTTACTAAGGTTTTTAATAATCTTTATTTTTGAAAGAAAATAAATTTTTTTGATAATTTTGTGTATTAAAAAATTAACGAAATCCGTCCACTTTGGATATGTTAATTTCTACTCTTTTGAATAAGGACCAAAAGTTATAAACGGTAACAATGGTTTTGAGCACGAACGAATGCGTCTTTTGGTGACTTACGTCTACCAAAATGGGTGATGGTCTCATCAACGATTCGTCTACAATCATCAGGTTTAGAGACATCTGCATGAACGGTGAAGACATTGGGGGATCCGATTTCACGAGCAATTTCTGCCACTTCCTCTAGACGGTTCTTCCTTCGTGCGGTTAAAGCCAAACATGCACCTCTACTTGCGTACTCATATGCCAAATTCTGATAATAACTCACTCAAATGAATAATATTCCTAACATATACTAATTAATTGTCTTAGGTCTGAATTTTGAAAATAAAAGGCATTATAACCAAACCTCGCCGATGCCGGAGGAAGCACCAGTGATGAGAACAACTTTCCCATAAAGATTTTCCGAGAAGATTGTTGAGAAAATAGACTGCAAGAACTTGAAGAAATAAAAAGGGGGCAAGAAAAAGCAAAGACCAAAGAAAGTGAAGAAAGGTGCAGTTAGATTAAGGAAATCGTTTATTAATTCCATTGTCGATCAAAACACAACACACATAAATGATATTGACTCTCTCATCGATCATTCACTTCCATGTTATATATAAATATAGGTAAAAATAAAATTATATTGGATTTTGGCCAAAACGGTGATGAGGCGAAGATAGAAGACACGAAGATCAGAAGGTAAAATGTGGCAACATTGCATGGCAATAAGACGACACGTTGTCTCAAGATGTGGAAAACGCACGTCGAGTACTCGTTGTCTTCTTAAGATCTTTAGTGGATAAGATCAATCTTCATTCCATCATCAAAGTTATTGTCGTTTCCAGAAATACATAAGCTAATAAGTTTTTGTTTTTTTTTTTGAAAGGTTGGCATGTTGTGGGCGCCCAATATTAAGTTTGATTATTTTTTTTTCGTTTGATTTACAATATATAAATCCTAAAAAAGAGAGTTTCAGATTTAACCTGAATTTTAAAATCAAACATGAAATTAATTTTTTTTTCTCTTTTCAACTTTTGCCATTTTATCACAATTCTATTTTTCTCACTTAAGATATTAACGAAAATGCCATTATAAACCCATTATTTCGATTTTTTTAAATATTGGCTAAAATCTCCTTAAACCTCTTAAAACCTTTTTTATTACAATAATGCCATATTCTTCAATATCTTCAACCACCATGAACAACCCAAAAATTGAATAAATGCTTTTCAACCAATTTTAAAGCTGTAATAAGTTAATATGAGAGCTCATACACTCATAACCTTCTATATTCTTTTTAATTTCTTCTCTAAAATTTCTGGGCTGAGTTACAATGTCAAAGGTTATGCATTTTTGGTGATTTCAGCTTAATCAAGACCTGAGTTATTTTTTTTTGGTCAAATTCAGAATTTTGGGTGCATGAGAGACCTAAAAACAAACTCAAAACCAATATAGGTAACGATACACTTCAATTTTGGTAATATTTATATCTGTATCGCGAAAGTAGACTTTATTTTGAAGTCTACTCTTACATGAAGTCTACAATAGAAGTCTACTTTGTTAGTTAATGCATCAGTCAAATGCTAAAGTAACCTTTTTGGCCGGAAGTCTACTGAAGAAAAAGTCAACGGATTGGTCAATTGCAAAAATAATCTGTTTTTAGTAGAATTTTTTAGTAGACTTCACTATGAAAAAGTAGATTTCTCCTCCAGTCTACATTTGAAGTCTGCTATAGAAGTCTACTTATTGCAGTTTTTTTTAAAACGCGTTTTAGGCAAATTTGTAAATTATTTTTTTATTTTTATTTTGATTAGAAATGCTTTTTAGTAAGTGATTGAACTACCCAATGAATTTCATTTCATTTCATTCGATATTTATTGTTGAATCAGAAGTTTTGATTTTTAAGCTACTTAGCTTATCAAAGTAGACTTCAGTAGACTTCTCCGGAAGTCTACTAAGGAAGTCTAATTATGAAGTCTACTTTTTGTATTTATTTTAAAAACGCATATCTTAAATATTTATAACGTTTTTTATAATTTTTAGGATTTGACATGCGTGTTAGCAATTGATTGAATTACTCAATGGTTTTCATTTGATTTAAATCGATATTTATTATGGAATCGAATTTTTTTATTTATAAGCTAGTTAGTTTGTGAAAGTAGACTTCATTTGCAATCTATGAAGTCTTGGAATGAAGTCTTCTGTGTAAAAAAATCGATACTTATGTATTTGCTATAATGTGTTTTGTAATTATGTTTGCTAATGTCATTTTTTATGTTTTCTTACAAAACTACCAATTAAATATGTTTGTGTTATACTTATGCTTCAATTTTTCTTGTGTTATTAGACTTACAAAAATTTCCATAAAAATGATCAACTCCATAAAAATAAATCTTCATAAATTCTAAAAAATTGTAGAGTTAGACATTTATAAGTTGTCTTGCTAGTAACACCAACCTCATTCTTCTGTTTTTTTTTTTTTTTCTTTGGATCTGACATACTTTGTGATTTTAAAATTGGTGCAACATAAAATTTTTTGTGACATTGAAATAATACATTCTGTATAAAATAGTTTTCTTTGCATTATAAAGATTCTGCTTAATGACTTAGTTTGTGGAACTTTTCTTTGCATTATCACTCTCAACTATATGACGTTTGTGTCTATATAAAATAACTTGATTATATTAACAAGGCATTCTGCATAAAATAGCATCACATTTAGTAAATACACATACAAAATTACAATTAACAATCCAAAGAGGCTGTGGCATAGGCATCAACACCAAATCCAAAAAACTAAGGGAGAAAGGGAATAAAGAGGGAGAAATGGAATAAGAGAGAGAAAGGGAATAAGGGAGGCTGTTCTCGTTGTTGCAAGTGACGTGGAACCATGTGCAAAGATTCACAAGCGTAGGATCCCAGCTCTGCAAGACATTGTTCGAATCAACTAGAGTGACCCTCAAAGTATTCAGCGCGTCACCTGTGACAAGAACCACAAATCTACAATTTTTAGCATCAAGACATTCAAGAGAACTAACAAAACAAACAGATCTCTTCGGGATTGGACTAACACAACAAATAGTTGATATAACATCATCACAAATGAAATCTGTCGGAGAATATTTGGATCAACAACATCAAATCTTAGGCTGTACATTGTTTCACAAGCTTCATAAGCTGTTACAGACAATCAACGAAAAAATTGAAAATTCAAAAGCTGTTACAGACACCACAAACAATATGAGCTCAAAAAGCTGTAACACACAATCAACGAAACGCAAAGAGATACTTATTATCCAGCCATCACACCAAAACCGAACCAGAGAACCACTTCTCGATTTCAAAAACCCCAATTTTAGGAACCAATCATTAAAAAGTTGACAATAAAAGGGTAAAACAAGCTCAAACCAACAAAATAGAAAAAAAAATTCAACAGTGGATTTTACAAAGATGCTACAAAGAATCATGAACAAAAAATTATGAGGATGTAATCAGGAAGCACTTATCTCCTCACTAGAAAACAGAACCGGTGCCAGCACCAAAATCCAGCACTTTTGTAGGCGCAAAATCCGGTAATTTCGACAAATCTACAGATCACATGATGAGTTGTTAGATTAAGCAGAAGAATACAAGTTTTCCAAAACAATCCCAAGCTCAAGTCCATGAGTATGGTAAAGAAGAATTGAAAAATGACCTCAAATTTTTCTCCGGCCAAGTGAGTAGATCCGCCGTCGAAGTATGTGGTTTCCTCACCGGCGAGCTTTTCTCCATCGCAATTTCATGATTCCACACTAAAAATCAACAAAAACTCAGTAAAAATCCAAAGAAATTGCGATAAAAAAAAAAGAGAGAGACAGAGAGAGTACGTTGTTGTAGGGTAATAGCTTCGAAGCAACAACAATGGTGGATTTGGTATAAACGAATTCAAGAGACAAAGGAAGAGTAGAAGCTAAAGGTTGCAACGAATTCAAGAGACAAAGGAAGAGTAGAAGCTAAAGGTTGCAAGGGAGGACACCAGATCTATGAGCTTCAAAAAAGAAAAGACTCTTGGAAAGGGCTTGGGCGTAATCATGGCCGGAGAAAGCTACCGGAAAACAGATAAACAGTATAAGAGCAGCCACAGGAGCAAACTTCTACACAGCTTCACAAAGAGAATGAAACGCAGAAAGAAATGGTGAGAGAGACGACGGAAGCTGGAGAAAGTGCCGTTTTAGAGAATGTCTCTTTTAGATAAAATTAGGGTTTTATTATGGTTCATTTGTTTATATAGTAAGAAAAAATTTCCGGTTAAGATAAAGATTTTTTGATTCAATTTCGGTTTAAATTTTGATTAAGATAATTTATTCGGTTTAGCAGACTTCAATATAGAAGTCTACAACTTTTAAAACCTAAATAATATATTTTCTTCTACTTAATTTAAAAACATAAATTTCCATTTATCAATATGAAAAAATAATTTATGTACATTTGGGTTATAATTAAGGAATTTATGAATGTAATTTTGATATCAAAATAATTTTTTCTAAATTTTAAAATTAAATTGTCAGATTTAATTACTTAGTAGACTTTATTTCGATAAATGAAGTCTACTATTAGATTTCTTTCTCTCTTTAGTAGACTTCGTCAGGGTGTAAACGGTAATGAGGACATCTATTTTTTGTTTACTCATACAAGATTCAATGGTCTTTTTACTATCTCTTTAGATTATTTCTGCCAAATGTTTTTTCAGAGATATATTTTTGTATTTAAAATCAAGTTTTAAGAAAACCCAATTATAAAATATAAATAATATTTATATGGTTACTGCCAAATGAAATATTTGTGAAATAATTTTTAATCTATATATAAAGTTATCTTTTTTTTCCCTTACAGACAAACTGAGTATCATAACAGGATAACTTAACCAAAACCGAACTAGAGAAGAAAACTAAAAGAAATCAATCGTTTCAGAACATAAATGCTCAAACTTTTGGAAAGATAATATATAGTGTTATATCTTCATTAAGTTACTGACCCTCTACATATAAAACACATAAAGTAACATAATTAATAGAATTTCTGATGTGTAATTGTAAAACTTTTGACAAACTATTCATTTACTAATTTCATATGCTTCAAAACCTCTTAACCGGACTCGCATCACTTTGCCAGATTGAACTTTGGGTTTGATCTGAAGAACACCAATTTTAAAAAGACCACATCCGAATATCACCTCCAAAATGCAATTGACAAAATCGTGATGGTTCACTTCAAAACCTGATTAGTATCACTTTTTATATTTTCCTGCGGATTCTGTCGATCATGAACATCTATGTTGTGCTTTGATAGAACCAGTTTTAAGCTGAATAGTATAACCGCAAGTGCATGGTTAAGTGATCTGTAGCACCAATAATGTATCGAATCCACAAAAATTTAGGTAAGAATTACACTTAGAATCCGAGAACTTAACTAAGCTAAGGTCAATGGACTGGTATGCGTACATACCGGCTGGAGGGCTGCTCGGGATGGCCGCTACTAACTGCTTTTCTCCATTTCTCATATTTTGTTTACCTCTTCCTTCATCTCCTTAGTCCCCAATCTTCTCCAAG